GAGCAGCAGAGCGGAGTTGTATGTACCTAAACCCACAAGAAGGCTACTCTAAGGTGAAGAAGCTGTTGGAGGCTAGATTTTGCTAAAAGCACAATATCGCGATGGCTTATGTCGACCAGCTAACTAATGGTCCCTACAACAAAGCTGAGGACGCCGAGTCACTGGAGGGTTTCTCAATTCTTCTGTCAAGTTGCACAAATACACTGAAGGCTATCGGATACTAAAACAAGATTGAAGGTCCAGACAACATGAGAAAGATTATCGAGAGACTGCCATCTAAACTGCAGAGTAGCTGGCGGGACAATGCTGATCGTACCCGTTTTCAGACCAAAACGGAGCAAAACACGACGGGACGGGATGGTACACTCGTACCTATATAGCTCGTATAACGGAGTAGCCCCCGCGTATTGAAGCCAGAAAACCTGACATTGTTTTTGTCGAGAAAGAGATTATTGTGGATATTGCTTCACCATGGCATCACAGAGTTCATAAAAAGGAGAGTGAAAAGGTTGAGAAATCCCTGAAGAGGGAGATTAGAAAATTATGGGGTATTAGACGCGTGAAAGTGGTACCGGCAGCGGTTGGTGCAGTCGGTGCAGGGAGCAAAAGATTGCATACATGGCTTGACAAGCTGGGGATTACAATTAATACGGATTTGCTGCAAAAACAGCTTTGTTGGCAGCAGCAAGAATCTAAAGGTTGAAGGTGGAAAACTGACCCATGGGAACTTTGGCCATTGGCTATGACACGCTCCCCAGTTGCTGTAATCCACCAGAGCTAAGCATTTCGTTGATACTAGTACTACTACTAATACTAATAATAATAATAATTTTGATAATAATAATAATAATAACAACAATTATAATAATAAAGTCTTTTTAATGTGTCAAATACCTAACTTACACAAATTGGAAACCGATTGTCGACACCAAACTACCTAACTACTTATATTCGTTTTAAATTCTTCCCATCCCAAAACATTTGGTAATCACGTGACCGTACACCGCCCGCTGCCCGCCCGTCTGTCTGCAACACAGGGCAACCAATGTTCAATCTCACACTTTCTAGCTAGTTTGGGAGCACAGGAAGACTGATATTGCACACAAACTTAAGTCTCTACTTTAAAGCGCATTTACACCAACTTTACGCAGAGTTTAAAGTGTTTCTTTACGATACCTTAACGCACGTGCGTAAAGGTAGCGTAAAGGTCGACTTTACGTGGCGTAAGTTTGAGGAAAATTTGAAACTTTTAGCAAATAAGGTGCTTATATGTTTGTATATTTTTTCCTGAAAATCTTGCATTTTTTTGTGGAGTTCATGAGAAGGTTGGGAATGTTTATTGATTTGGAACTTTATTCCGGGACTGGTAGAAATTGTAGTTTGGACATGTAAACCTTTGATATGACTTGTCCGTGGGACAAGCACATTTTTAATTAGAAAAAAAAGATTAGAAACGGTTGCCTTAAATAGTCCTTTTAACTTTGCCATTCCACTGCCAGTCATTTCATTGCTTTTTTACGAGCTCCGTTTTAGGTTTAATTCAAAAATAATATACAAGGGTAGTAATGTGATTAAAAACATTAAATGCCCGATTGTTTTTCAGGTTGCAAGGTAAACTTTTTGGACAAGAACTCTGGGTTTCGCACAACCAAATTTAATGTATTGCTTGTGTGAAGGACAAGTGGATAGGAAAATTTTTCTAGTTACTCTCTAATAATAATAATAATAATGTACATCCAGTAGTTTTTCATAGCACTTTACAACAAAAAAAGATATACATTGTGCCCGATTTAGTGTATTATCACTAGCCTATAAGTAATCTGTGTAGTTTACTCAAATAATACGCGCTTTCTATTTATTCAGCAGATCAGCCTGGTATGGGATGTTGGTGAAAGAAAGTCTTCTCAAAGCAAAGAGGATTAATACATCTTAATGACAAGCCTTAGTCTTGTAAGGTGGTTCCAGGGATGTCACTAAGGGCCATAAACCAGGGTTTAAATTGGCTATTTCAAGAGGAAACGAAAGGAAAATTTATTAAAACATAAACAACTTCCCACCCTTTCAATGTCCCGCTCACTAATTTCACATACCCTCCAACTTGCAATCTTATTGACAGCCTTGTGCATCTAACTTTTACATCAGCAGTTTATGAAAATGATTTGTTATTTGGGTTTTTTGTTAAATTTGACGGTAACCACGTCTGGGAGTGAAAGGGCTTAGTCAAGAAACCATCCATGTTATACATGTGTTAGGCTTTCAGTCTTTTTATTTCTTATCTAAAATAATTTAAGCTTTTAATTTGAATTATGCTAAATTATACTAAATATTTTCATTTTGGAAGAGACCATTAATTGACCAACCTTTACATTAATTTGTGTGTTAGAGTTGCTGTTCTTTTATCAAAATTTAACTTCATCAGTTTTCTTATACCTTACATGTAAATACTAATAATTATTTTAAACTATAAATTACCTTAATTTGGTATGATAATAAGTTAAGATGATTTATTATTTTTTTTTGATTTTTTGAGAAGACTGTTTTGACCCATTTGAAAAGTTTATGTACACTGTATCTTCTTATTTAAACCTTACGAAGGTGTTACAAACATTTTCGTTTTTTTTAAATTTTTAATGTAATCACAAAGATGCTAACACAGAAATAAGTCATGTTATATTTAGAAAAACCTTAAAAACCTTGTAAGATTACTCTTTGCGGGACTACACTTAAAGGATGCGATTCGCATTTGCAGGTTTTGCAGTTACAACAATGACGATCTTCATGGGATTTGAAATGTAAAAATAAAGATAGGAAATTTGACGATTGGTTTTGGTAATGCAAAATTGAAAACCGACAGGGGCCCTATTTTTTAAACTACTACTCCTTTGCATGTCCGCTTAACGCGTAAAAGGATTGTCTAAATAAGATCTTTACACAAACTTTACGCAGAGCTAAAAAGTGTTTTTACTATACTTTTATGCATGTGCGTCAAGGTAGCGTAAAGTTCGACTTTACGTGGTGTAAATGGGTCGTAAAGCTACCTAAATGACAACTTTACGACAGCTTTTCGCCACCATTACGCTCACTTAAATTTCTTTTTTTTCGTGCTGTTTGTTTCCATGTCCTTTGGGCATTGCACCACGCTCTTTGGACCGCCAAAATACATCAAAAAAAGTCTGCGGTGAGCACGATTACATGTATTCTGCAGCTGAGAATAAAACTTACATAGTTCTAACCCTCCAACTTTTGGTTTATAAATGTGGTGATTGTAAGCCATAAAATAGCGCATTCTAAAAATAGTTCTAACATTCTTTTTAAATAAATGAATAGTTCTAACCCATTTTTGGTTTTAAAATGAGGTGATTTTTAAAATACTGCATTTTAATGAATAGTTCTAACCCATAAATTTTTGGTTTATAAATGAGGTGATTGTAAAAAATACTGCATTCTAATGAATAGTTCTAACCCACAAATTTTTGGTTTATAAATGAGGTGATTGTAAGCCAGAAAAAAAATGCATTCTAATAAATAGTTCTAACCCACAAATTTTTGTGCTCTATACATGTGGTGATTGTAAGCCATAAAATACTGCATTCTAATAAATAAAATAAATTTTTGTTTTATAAATGCAAGCCATAAAATACTGCATTCTAATAAATAGTTCTAACCCACAAATTTTTGGTTTATAAATGAGGTGATTGTAAGCCATAAAATACTGCATTCTAATACATAGTTCTAACCCACAAATTTTTGGTTTATTAATGTGGTGATTGTAAGGCATAAAATACTGCATTGTAATAAATAGTTCTAACCCACAAATTTTTGGTTTATAGATGTGATGATTGTAAGCCATAAAATACTGCATTCTAATAAATAGTTCTAACCCACAAATTTTTGGTTTATAAATGAGGTGATTGTAAGCCATAAAATACTGCATTCCAATAAATAGTTCTAACCCACAAATGTTTGGTTGATAAATGAGGTGATTGTAAGGCATAAAATACTGCATTCTAATAAATATTTGTAAGCCACAACTACCCTACCTCTTTTTCCTCTGTTGCTGGGTATTACTAGTAGTTCAAGTGAAGTGCGCGTGGGTTGCCCTAATAAACCAAATTTCACAGAATTTTGGGACCTGAAAAAGTAATAAAGCTCTCTGAGTCTTCTCTGACCATCTACATCTACATTAGGCCGGTCTGATGATAAATCACCCCCCGGGATGTGTTCCACTCATTGCACGTCTCTTGCTGCAGGGGAGTTTATTGTTGATATTTCAATAAAACGGGATACGGGCTTCGGAATGGGGCATAGAGGAAGAGAAAAAGGACAGGGCGTTTGTCCCCTCATAATAATAATAATAATAATAATAATAATAATAATAATATATTTGCGCTTTTTCTATAAAAAATACTCAAAAGTGCATTACAACATTATTAATAACTAAATTAAAAACCAGTAAAATTACCCGGTAAAATTACAATATTACAATATTAAAATTACAATATTAAAATCACAATATTAAAAAAATAAAAATAATAGAAATAAAAATAAATAAATAAATAATCTAACTAAAAGCCTTTCAAAATAAATATGTTTTAACAGAGCATTTAAAAGAGTCGATTGATGTTTCCTGTCTAATTGGGCAGAGGAAGACTGTTCCATAAAAGGGGGCAGCCATCGATAACGCGCGATCTCCCAAAGTCTTCTTCTTTCTTAGCCGAGGTCTTTCTAACAATATACCATTATTGTTACGGCGTAGTTGGTAAGGTGAGTCCGGTCAGACAGAGACAAGATCCTTAAGATAGCTAGGCGCAACACCGTGAAGAATCTTAAATGTAACAAGGAGAATCTTAAAATCTACGCGCAAGCGCACTGGTAGCCAGTGGAGTTCTCTTAGCAAAGGAGTAACGTGACAATACTTAGGTGCACAGTAAACCAATCGAGCACTGGCATTCATGACTCTCTGAGGTTTCTTAATTTGATACTCAGGAGCACCGTACAATAAACCATTACAGTAGTCAAGCCAGGTGCCCAAATTGCGCACTGAAGAGGCAGGCGATACCTCAGCTTGGCCGATCTTCATCTTGCCAACGGACACCTTTGATAACTGTCGTTCCGTGCCAATGATCAAGAACTCAGTTTTATCGTCATTTAGCATTAACTTGTCATCTCTCATCCATGCGCGAACGTCACGAATACAGTTCTCAATTGCAATCACAGCATCAGCCTCGCTGGTCTTATCAACGGGATTAAACGATATATATAGCTGTGTATCGTCCGCGTAGGTGTGAACGGATGGCAGATGAGATTTCATGATGTCAAACAGCGAACTCGCGTAGATGGTAAATAAGAGGGGGCCCAAACAAGAACCTTGTGGGACCCCGCAAGTCAGATTAAATTTATCAGAGAGCGATCCGTTAACTGAGACCGGCTGCGTTCTTCCCGCCAAATAAGATTTAAACCATAATAAAGCCTTATCCCGAAGGCCAAGCTTCAAACTGCAGCCTGTGCAGAAGAATACCGTGATCTACGGTATCAAACGCAGCGCTGAGATCTAACATCACAAGCAATGTGACGTGACCTTTGCCCATATTTAGCAGAAGATCGTTTTTAACTTTTAATAACGCCGTCTCAGTGCCGATATGCGCTTTGGAGGACAGGAAATAAGTTGTTGGCTGTCATATGATCTTGTAATTGGATAGCCACGGACTTTTCCGTAATCTTTGATGTAACCTGCAAGTTGCTCACCGGTCGAAAACTTTTGTTAATAGGTTTGAGTCCTGTTTTCTTAAGCAAGGGGTGAACTAAAGCATTCTTCCAGTCCTCTGCAAAGACGCCAGACTCAAGAGACAAGTTGACAATTTTCCTAATAACGGGGAGCAGTTCATCCAAACAGAAGGACAGAATAGACGATGGTAGGGGATCAAAGGCGCACGACTTTGCACATGAGGCAGCAATTCTCCGTGCACTCTACTCAGACAGTGGAGAAAATTCAGAAAACTCACTACACGTTGAGGCTGATGTGGCAAGCGAAGTTGCGCCACTGGCATCCGCATCCAGCGCAGACCGAATAGCCGTGATATTAGGGAGCTTAAGCACCAGGCGTTTTTGAGTCAAGAACGTCAACCGGAAGTCCAAAGTTGCGTTTCGTACTTACTGCGCATGTCTTGCCGTCCGTGATTTGTCGTCACCGACCTGAAAACCCCGCGCTTGCCGTCCGTGCTGGTTGTCACCGACGCTTTTGTTGCAAATTCAGCATGAAAATGATTTTCTACCTACCAGTAAACACTGACAAACCAAAGTTCACAAACTACAATATAGGATAAGTATTGATAGAACAGTTTTATTGAGTATTTTGTGACCATTGTTAAAAGGTACAAACTCCTTGGCATGTTCCTATTTTCTCTTGTCTTTTCACCAAAACCTTCTGTTTTTAAGCTCTTTGAAGTATAATTCTTATTCTGCTGCATCTTCTTCATTTTATCTCTGTCATTTAAGAACTCTTGGACATATTTTTTGAGTGTAATTTTATTGTCCATTAGCAAAGAATTTCATGGTTCTAGGTGCCATAGAAAGCTGCAGCCATATGAAAACTTCTGTAGTAAATATATCAGGTACAAACAAAGAAAGATAAAAATTAGTTAAAATATTCATGCACTGTTGGTGGATTCAGATCAAAATAATTAGATGTTTGATTTCCATACATGCATGTGATAACATTTTGGATTAAGGAACAAACAAGATACATCTTACCAATTTGGCTCAATCCTATTTTCAAGTTGTTTTTAAAATCCATGAATTTAAATGACCTTACAATGTCACCAAAAACCCACTCCACTGATGTTCTTACTTTGCTCATTGATTCATTAAAGGCCTCCATGGCAGGCATAAGCCTGTTCCCTTTATAAGGTGACTGCAAGTGAACCCGCACAGGGTACGCTGGATCACCATATATGCACATAGGTTGTCCGCCTGTGGAAAATGCAAATCTTTCAAGGTCATTAAGCAGGTGAGACTCTCCAAGCATCATGTCGCTTACCCTCTGGAATGAGGACAAAAAATATATACAGTTTGTGTGATCATGCACTTCCTGACCTCTTTTCCCTGATCTTAATTGGTGCTCTTTGTTGAGAGGCAGGATAAAAAGCGGCAGAACGTCTTTCATCAAAGAACTCGTTGCATTTGCAAAACTCAAAATAATAATATATTTGCTTTAGTTTTACAAGGGAAAAAGGATGATTATGATTATTGAATGGAAGTACACCGTTAAGCGTTTCATTTGTTATCATTCTAATAATCAACTTTCTTCCTCTTTACCAAATATTGTAAGCTTTTAAGCTTAAAACTTAAAAGGTTTGCAAATGTCATAGCTGGTATTGATCCATACCAGAAACTAATGAGTTTCTGTCCATACCGAATGGATCAACTTCTTAACTGAAAGAAGCTCCTACAGAACGTATTTTTTCCACTTGACTTGTGTGACTTACCTACAGCTCCATACATGTTGGCTATAAGCCCATTCGGTAGCGGTACAGACTGGAATTTCAAGGCGTGAATCCTTTTGTGTCCATTGTAAACAATTTCCTGGTTCTCGATTGGTCTGGATATTGCTCTGACAGTCCGTCTACAAATCCAAAACAGTTATTTAGGCCGGCTCCTTTAGTATGAATCGCATCTGCGTAGATTTCTAGTTGATATGGATTGAGGATTGCGTGGTTCCACTGCTTAATCCGATGAGCATGTTGATTCAAAATTTCATCACTCACACAGTTTGAGATCATGCTCAGCTCTGGAGCAGGCCTCCCAAACTGGGGAATGGGATCGGAGTAGCGACACGGGTATGCCATTCTTCGGAGCAGCAAACATAATCCCTCCAACTGATCAGCCACTGTTCTTTGACTGCATCGAAAACCCTCAGGTAAACCAAGAACTTCAGCCAGTTCTGGAATGTCGTCTTTTTGGAAACGAAAGTTGGCCTTACACTCCGGTTCCTCTATTTCTTCTAAGTTAAATCTGTCGTAGTTTTCGTAGGAAAACTCAGGATTTCTGGATGTATTTTCGTCCAGTAAAAGAAGAAGCTCCTCGTCCGATATCGCCTTTAAGCTGTGCTCTATCAAAAGCAATTCTCTAGTTTGTTTAAAAAACGCCATGTAGCGAGAAAGATAACCTGATTCTCAGGTTACAACGAGAAAACCAGTGTTTTCATTGTTGTTTACATTTCTTAAATTTTGCGGCCGCGTCCGTCGCGGTAAGTCTAGTGCTTAAGACAAATATTGGCGCCAAAAACGCCGTCTTCGACTTAGTCTCCACTCGGTACCCCCACGTTCGTGTTGTCAAAAACGCCTGGTGCTTAAGCTCCCTTTTGTGAACAAAATACTCCCCCATCTCATTTGCTAGCAAATCTATTGGCGCCTGTCACACAGGCTGTTTCAAATATAGTGTAAGCGCCAGGAATGTTTTCCGTTACCTTTATAGTATTTTTATGTTCGCCGCGTTCCTAGTTATTTTCGTCTTCGCGCCTTTAGTGCTGTTGTTTGGTTCATTGGTTTTTCATTGTCCGCGTAGCTTGGTCCTTCGTGATAGGATCTTTCTCCATATCGTATATTTAGCTTTTATTGTAATTTTTCGCGTCAGTTCTTCGTTTTAGTTGCGCTCGGTCCAGTTTACAGTTTAATTTTTGGGTTTTTGCTCTTCCTAGGTTTTCGTCCTTTTCTCGCTATCGTCTTTACCGATATACTTTGCTATACTTCGCTATACTTCACATTGGTTCACTTTTTTCCCTGCAACAGTTGTAGAAGTTCTAGAATAAAGTTTGTCTGTTAAAAACTAGAGCGCGTAAAGGCTGCGACTATATTCGTAAAGACGAGAGTTGTTGGACTTTGGGCGATGTCTCATGTGGTTCAGGAGGCCAATTTGTCGTGTTCCGCCGGGAAATATGGTCAAAGTGTTCGTCGTTCAAGTACCCGTTCGCGGAAGCCTAATTCTTCGCTGGATCAAGAAGCAGTTGCAATGGAAAGGATCCGAGAACTTAGAAAGAGAAGAGGCGGAGTGCTCTCTGCCTTGACGGTTAAGCGTAAAGAAATTGACGGCTTATTAACAGATGAGAACAATTTTGAAGCAGTCAAGGTGAAACTGACGGAGATTATGTGGTAGACTGTACTATCTTGAGCAGCAGAGCGGAGTTGTATGTACCTAAACCCACAAGAAGGCTACTCTAAGGCGAAGAAGCTGTTGCAGGCTAGAGCTAACTAATGGTCCCTACATCAAAGCTGAGGACGCCGAGTCACTGGAGGGTTTCTCAATTCTTCTGTCAAGTTGCACAAATACACTGAAGGCTATCGGATACTAAAACAAGATTGAAGGTCCAGACAAAATGAGAAAGATTATCGAGAGACTGCCATCTAAACTGCAGAGTAGCTGGCGGGACAATGCTGATCGTATCCTCAATGCGGACAAGAGAGAAGTTTGTATCGAAGACATTGCGTCATTCGTTGAGGAGAAGTCACGTGCCCTAAGTAATCCAATCTTCGGAAAACTTCCCTTCTTGGCTAAGGATAAGAAGAAGAGCCAGATGCGAGGGACGAAATCAAAACCCGAGGGTTCTGGGCCTAGTCCTAGAGAGCTTAGTAACTTCTCCACTTCATCTCAGAAGAGTCCCATGGATCAAAACAAGTTTCAGGAGAAGAAGTCTGAAGATCTCTCGAAAACGAGTTGTTTGCTTTGCAGTCAGATCCATAATCTCGTAGACTGTCCTGCGTTTGCTAAAATTCCTCTCCGTGAGCGTTTCGACTTTGTAATGAAGCAAAGACTCTGTTTCTCGTGTTTGAGAGAAGCCGTCTTCACATTGTAAAGGAAGACATGCTTCGCTGATGCATTTTGATTCTTCGTAAGACACGCACGAGCAGCCGACACCTGAGAATGCGAGTGTTCCACTCATTCCACGTCTCTTGCTACAGGGGAGTTTACGAGTTTCAAAAGGCGCCTGTCACACACGCTGTTTCAAATATAGTTTCATTGTGTTTAAGTATCTCCTTCTTTCTATGAGTCCCATGAGCCCACGAACATCACTTAAAGTACCTACCAATTTTCTCCTGACGATATTAATACATAATCAAGAGAAAAGGCCATAAGAATCAATCTTAATCATTTGGAATTCAAACGATAAATACGTTCATACACTCTCGTAGTTCCCTCGAAAAGCATACCCGATTCCAGAGCAAAGTGAGAAAAGTGTGTACCTGTTTTCAGACCAAAACGGAGCAAAACACGACCCGACGGGGCGGTACACTCGTACCTATATAGCTCGTATAACGGAGTAGCCCCCGCGTATTGAAGCCAGAAAACCTGACATTGTTTTTGTCGAGAAAGAGATTATTGTGGATATTGCTTCACCATGGCATCACAGAGTTCATAAAAAGCAGAGTGAAAAGGTTGAGAAATCCCTGAAGAGGGAGATTAGAATATTATGGGGTATTAGACGCGTGAAAGTGGTACCGGCAGAAGTTGGTGCAGTCGGTGCAGGGAGCAAAAGATTGCATACATGGCTTGACAAGCTGGGGATTACAATTAATACGGATTTGCTGCAAAAACAGCTTTGTTGGCAGCAGCAGGGATCTAAACGTTGAAGGTGGAAAACTGACCCATGGGACCTTTGACTATGACTCGCTCCCCAGTTGGTGTAATCCACCAGAGCTAAGCATTTCGTTGATACTAGTACTACTACTACTACTAATAATAATAATTTTGATAATAATAATAATAATAATAATAATAATAATAACAATTATAATAATAAAGTCTTTTTAATGTGTCAAATACCTAACTTACACAAATTGGAAACCGATTGTGGACACCAAACTACCTAACTACTTATATTCGTTTTAAATTCTTCCCATCCCAAAACATTTGGTAATCACGTGACCGTACACCGCCCGCTGCCCGCCCGTCTGTCTGCAACACAGGGCAACCAATGTTCAATCTCACACTTTCTAGCTAGTTTGGGAGCACAGGAAGACTGATATTGCACACAAACTTAAGTCTCTACTTTAAAGCGCATTTACAACAACTTTACGCAGAGTTTAAAGTGTTTCTTTACGATACCTTAACGCACGTGCGTAAAGGTAGCGTAAAGGTCGACTTTACGTGGCGTAAGTTTGAGGAAAATTTGAAACTTTTAGCAAATAAGGTGCTTATATGTTTGTATATTTTTTCCTGAAAATCTTGCATTTTTGGTGGAGTTCATGAGAAGGTTGGGAATGTTTATTGATTTGGAACTTTATTCCAGGACTGGTAAAAATTGTAGTTTGGACATGTAAACCTTTGATATGACTTGTCCGTGGGACAAGCACATTTTTAATTAGAAAAAAAAGATTAGAAACGGTTGCCTTAAATAGTCCTTTTAACTTTTCCATTCCACTGCCAGTCATTTCATTACTTTTTTACGAGCTCCGTTTTAGGTTTAATTCAAAAATAATATACAAGGGTAGTAATGTGATTAAAAACATTAAATGCCCGATTGTTTTTCAGTTGCAAGGTAAACTTTTTGGACAAGAACTCTGGGTTTCGGACAACCAAATTTAATGTATTGCTTGTGTGAAGGACAAGTGGATAGGAAAATTTTTCTAGTTACTCTCTAATAATAATAATAATAATGTACATCCAGTAGTTTTTCATAGCACTTTACAACAAAAAAAATATACATTGTGCCCGATTTAGTGTATTATCACTAGCCTATAAGTAATCTGTGTAGTTTACTCAAATAATACGCGCTTTCTATTTATTCAGTAGATCAGCCTGGTATGGCATGTTGGTGACAGAAAGTCCTCTCAAAGCAAAGAGGATTAATACATGTTAATTACAAGCCTTAGTCTTGTAAGGTGGTTCCAGGGATGTCACTAAGCGCCATAAACCAGGGTTTAAATTGGCTACTTTGAGCCCAATACTATTTCAAGAGGAAACGAAAGGAAAATTTATTAAAACATAAACAACTTCCCACCCTTTCAATGTCCCGCTCACTAATTTCACATACCCTGCAACTTGCAATCTTATTGACAGCCTTGTGCATCTAACTTTTACATCAGCAGTTTATGAAAATGATTTGTTATTTGGGTTTTTTGTTGAATTTGACCGTAGCTACGTCTGGGAGTGAAAGGGCTTAGTCAAGAAACCATCCATGTTATACATGTGTTAGGCTTTCAGTCTTTTTATTTCTTATCTAAAATAATTTAAGCTTTTAATTTGAATTATGCTAAATTATACTAAATATTTTCATTTTGGAAGAGACCATTAATTGACCAACCTTTACATTAATTTGTGTGTTAGAGTTGCTGTTCTTTTATCAAAATTTAACTTCATCAGTTTTCTTATACCTTACATGTAAATACTAATAATTATTTTAAACTATAAATTACCTTAATTTGGTATGATAATAAGTTAAGATGATTTATTATTTTTTTTGATTTTTTGAGAAGACTGTTTTGACCCATTTGAAAAGTTTATGTACA